AAAAAAAAAAAAAATACTATTCATCCAAGCAAAACATGTCTGTGGCGAGATGTGACCCAAAGGCTGCTAGTTTGGAACTTGAGCAATAAAGTATCTATTTCAGTCTGTCCTCACTTTGAAAAGGAGGAAATGGTCTCAGAAATAAAATGACCTGGCCAAGGAGACCACGCTAGTAAATTACGGAGGCAGGACTCCACCTAGTGGTTTTACTGTTAAGCCTTTTGCCTTTTCTACTCCTTCATGGGATAACAGAGGTGAAAATACCTCCTGAATGGTAAATCCTGCAGAAACAGAAGTCCCCACTAGTACAACAAATGATATGAAAACACTGATCGCTGTTCTGATCACCAATGAGATGACAAGCCCAAGAAAGCTCAGCGGGAAGCCGTTGTCAGAGCCAACGGCGCCATACCTGCTGGCTCCTGGGCACGCCATATCGGAGGTTGTTGACAAAGTGCTCACAGTTCCCTTCAATCAGGCTGTACTGCACTATCTTGTTGATCATCTGTTTTGTACGCTGGATGATCTTGTCCACGGGCAGGGGCAGGTAGGTCCCATCCAGCTTGTTGTTGATCTTCCAGGAGCAGCCATGCAACACGTCCTCCAGGCGACTGTATTTTACGACTGCCCGGTTGCTGAAGACGGAAGTGATGCTGCCAGCCTCAAATTCCTCACCTAGAGACCAAAGACAAGCAAAAGTTGGAAAACTGCAAGAGGTAGTGGGGCAGAGGACTGGCTCACTCCAAGATGCTGGGTAAACTATTTCCCTTTGGGGCCTCCGTTTCACCATCTAGAGAAGGCACAGCAGAGGATGGGGAGTCGGGGTAAATGAACTGCAAAGAACCAACTTTTCCAAGAAGACTTCTGCCCCGCACTGCACTCTCCGCCTTCAACCCCCACAGCAATCTCTTTCTTATAGCACTTTAGAGGCTCCTTACGGTACGGCCCTGGACTCCATCCCGTGTTGTACTGACCTGACCAAGTCCTAGGACTTGAGTCTTGCTTTCCTAACCAGACTTCAGTAATCTTCACAAATGTGTGACCAGCACCCTGTGTCAGCATCAGCTCCTGGGGAAGGGGCTATCATGTGGTTCTAAGACATGCCTCCCTCTGGAGCCACTGCAGGGGCACAGGTGAGGCCAAGCAGACAGGGTACCCACTCCCACCCACCAGCTTCCCCCAGAGCCACTTTGCCTTTCTCTCTACTCAAACACTGGGATTCTCATTAAGGGTTTGAAAACAGGATTCCATAGCTTTGAAAAAAGAAATGTTTGAGAGCTGCTATATTATCATACTCAGTCCTTAGAGGAGACAGAGGCTCAGAGAGGGCCAGCAACCTGCCCAAGGCCAGGTGGGTGGTAATTTAAAACCAGGACTTTTTCTGCTACAATCCTAAGGATATACTAATACGTGTACCCTCCCCCTCTGCAAGTTGTGCCTGAGCAAGAAATGTTCCCTGTTCTTTTCCTACATATTTGAAAAAAACCTGCTGGTTTTACAAAAGCTGGCAGCAGGCAATTCAGCTTTCCAGAACAGAGACAGCAGAATTCAACTTTAGAGAAAGATCTGATGGGGAGGGTGGGGTCATAACTGTTAACAGAACTCTTTGGTTATACAAGAGGGACGCTCGGATTTAGTCTGGAAAGGAGAGGTGGCAGCGAGGTAATGTGAAGCAATTTTTCCATTTCTCGTTAAGGCTCTGAGTCGGGAAGTGGGGAAGGGTGTGAGTGGACGGGGCAGGGAACAGGTGATAGGAGAAGGAAGGTCCCAGCAAGGTGAGAGGCTGGGCCAACAGAGGAGGACAAGACACTGGGATGAGAGCTGTGAACAAGGTGTAGCCACAGGCCCTGGGTACCAATGCCCTTCCGTAATTTAATCTTGAATGGGCAGAACTTGCACAGGATAGAAAATCCAAAAGGCATCAGAGAATATGTAGTGGATCCCCCTCCCTCCCTTCTCCCAGCTCCTCCAGGTCCCATCTCCTGGGGCAACCACTGTGGCCAGTGGTGCTGGATGCCCAGTTTTAAGTTGTTTCCCGTTCTACGCTGCAGTCTTCTATCATCAACAAATCTTAGTGGACATCAAATATCCGGTAAAATTTAATTAGCCACCACTTTCATCTCAGCCATGCGTTAATGCTGCCTTGAGAAATGAAAGGGGAACTGTGTCCATGCTGAGGGTAGAGTAGCCTGGGGCAGCTTGGAAGAGCAGGGAGACAAGGTGACGGTGGAGATAACAAAGGTGATCAGGAAGCCGGAAGCAGAATTTGGGCACAATAGGAAACAAATGACAATCAGAACATGTAAGCATCCCCAACCCGTCCCAGGAAATCCTCAGAAGTATGAGGAAGGATACTGAGCTGCTCTCAATACAAATGGAGACTCACATTCTTAAATCTGCATTTTAAAAGAAAGGGTGGTCTAGGCAGTCAAGGAACCTGTGGACACCCTAACTTGCATCTTTCTAAGGGTTGGACACTCAGTGGTTTTTGGTGGACAGAGACCAAGCTCTATCACACAGTAAATTAGGGTCCAGTGACACCCTGGAGTGTTTTATGCTAAAGGGCAGCAGCTGAGGAACACAATAATTAACTGTACTTCTTTTTACTTTGCTAACTTCAATATCAATATTTCAGTAGAGTATCCACTCTTACTCGGGGGAGCCAGATGGACCACACAGTCATCTTCCACATAGATGGCCCAGTGCTCATAGCCAATTCGAAAAATCTCAATCAGGTCTCCAGGTCTGGGTTTTGGTTTACCCTATAATGGAAAAAAATATATAAAATAAAGAAATTGCACATGCCCGGGGAACTCCAGACACCCTATTTGGGGATCAGCTACAGCTCAGCCTAAAGACACTGCGTTTCATCACCTTACAGAAACCCAGGCTGCAGAAACTCTCTTCACACAAAAAGACTAAAGGGCGCCTCCCCACCCTGCTATCCCCTTCATTATTAAAGCCATCCAGGCTAACTGTGCCACTTACCACCATATTGCCTCTCACTCTGAATGCACCCTCTGAATATGCTCTGTGATAAGTGATGGAACTCCTTTAAGCCTTTCCTCTTCCTCCATGAGCACCACGTTAAGCTTTCTCAATAGAGGGCTCTGGAGGGACATTAAAAGAGGAAAGGGCTCTCCTGCAGTTTCTGGCTCCAGGTTGGGGAACGATGGTCAGCAGTGCGGGCATGAGGACATCTGGTGGAGCTCTGCCTGAGCCCAGAGCCCTCTGTCCCCATCAACCTTGCAGCCTAGGCCTGGCAATAACCTTTCTACGGCCCCCTCAACAGAGAAATCAGTGTCCAAATTCCTCCTGCCCCCTGCTGGCATCCTGATTCCCTCTGTGGGTCCTCCACATGGCCCCCCTGTGGCCCAGAGGGTCCCCCCTCCTCTGCATGCCCACCCCACTAGTTGCTGATAGCCAGCTCCCCGCCTACACTCTAAAGGGGTGCACTTGGGGGCCGGCCCAGTGGCACAGCGGTTAAGTGCGCCCGCTCCGCTGTGGCGGCCGAAGGGTTCGCTGGTTCGGATCCCGGGCGCGCACCAACGCACCGCTCATCAAGCCCTGCTGTGGCGGCGTCCCGTATAAAGTAGAGGAAGATGGGCACGATGTTAGCCCAGGGCCGATCTTCCTCGGCAAAAAGAGGAGGATTGGCATCGGGTGTTAGCTCAGGGCTGGTCTTCTTCACAAAAAAAAAAAAAAGCTTGTTGCCCTTGCCCTGCAACTGCTACCAGCTCCATCCTGGCCAAACCAAACTTCTCTGCTCCCCAGTGGGTGGACTATACTCTACAACGTGGTCTGAACCCCTTTAAGTCTGCCCTTGTTAAGCAATCTCCCTCAGGCCTGGGAGACCATGCTGAGTTTCTTCGTATCTTATAGTTACTCTTCCATCGTAGTTTAATAATTCTTTATACTAAACTTCCCCTGTTTAACCTGCCATGTGGTTTCTATCTCTTGATTGAACCAGACTGCTGATACACTATCTCTTCAAAGAGCCCTGGGGGAGCGAGATTGTTCATCTAAGAGACATTGTGTGTGTGCGTGTGCACACAATAGTTTTGTGCACTTAAAAATTTCTTAAGAGAATAGATCTCGTATTAAGTGTTCTTACCACAATAAAAAAAAGAAAGAAAAGAAACCCCAGAGCTTCTGCCACCGCAAACCCAAACTAAAAAAAAAAGAAAAAACTGAACTCTTATACCCCACATCCCATCTACTCCAGTAATGTGTACCCCTCCCAGACTATTCCTAAGTTTGTCCAGGAGTGGCCCAGGGGAGAAGCTCTGCTCATGGATTCCTCTCTGAGAAGCCATGCTAGGAAGTCAGAGCCAGCAGAGAGATATGAACCACCCCACCCATCCAACAACTTTATAATAACATTGTTTCTCATCCCAACAATTTGCCCACTTAGTCTAATTTCCTCAAGGCTGTATCTCTCCTCCTTCTTCCCAGCCCTATTTCCCTGGCTGAGGACAGCCATAGGCCAGGGCAAAAATTCACAGAAGTAAAGGTTTTTCATCTATGTCTTTTAAAGCTTTTCTGAGAAATAATTTATATCCCATAAAATTCATGTATTTTAGGTGTCCAATTCAATGACTTTAGGTAAATTTACAGAGTTTGTGTAACCATCACCACAATCCAATTTTAGAACATGTGCATTATCCCAAAAAGATTCCTCACTTCCATTTCCCACCCACAGCCCCATGCAACCTGTCCCCATTAGCAGTCTTTCTTTCCCTACCCTCTTCCCCTAGCTCCAGGCAACCACTAATCTGCTTTCTGTCTCTATAGATGTGCCTTTCTGGACATTTCATATAAATGGAATCACATATATGGTTTCTTGTGTCTGGCTTCTTTCACTTGGCATAATGTTTTTGAGATTCATCCATGTTGTAGCATATGTCAGTACTTCATTATATGGATACCCCACATTTTGCTTAAACTACTTTGTTCTTTTTCAATATTATTTTGGCTATTCTGGGTCCTTTGACTTTCCCCTATAAATTTTAAGACCACCTTGTCAATTTATACCCAAAAAAAATGCCTGCTAGCATTTCAAGAGGGATTTTGTTTAATTTATAGATCAATTTGGTAAAGCTTGCCATCTTAAAATTAGAATTTTCCAACCCATAAACATGCAATGTCTGGGGCCAGCCTGGTGGCACAAGCGGTTAAGTGCGTGCACTCTGCTGCGGCGGCCCGGGGTTCGCCAGTTCGGAGCCCCGGGCGCACACCGACGCACCACTTGGCAAGCCATGCTGTGGCAGTGTCCCACATCAAGTGGAGAAAGATGGGCATGGATGTTAGCCCAGGGCCAGTCTTCCTCAGCAAAAAAAAGAGGAGGATTGGCAGATGTTAGTGCAGGGCTGATCTCCTCACAAAAAAAAAAAAAAAAAACATGCAATGTCTTTTCATTTGTTTAAATCTTCTTGAATTTCCCTTGCAATGTTTTGTAGTCTTGCTTTCTTGTTAAACTTATACCTAAGTATTTTTATGCTGTTATGAATGGAATTGATTTCTTAATTTCATTTTCAGGTGGTTCATTTCTAAGATATAGAAATACAATTGATTTTTGTACATTAATCTTGTATGCTGCAACCTTGCTGAACATATTTACTAATGCTAATAGTTTTTAAATAGTTTTAAATAATAATAGTTTTAATAGTTTGGTTTTGGTTTTGGTTTTTGGTGAGGAAGATTGCCCCTGAGCTAACATCTGTGGCCAATCTTCTTTTTGCTTTAGGAAAATTGTCCCTGAGCTAACATCTGTGCCAATCTTCCTCTATTTTGTATGTGGGACATGCCACAGCATGGCTTGATCAGAGGTATGTGGGATCCAAACCCACAAACTCCGGGCCACTGAAATGGAGCACGTGAACTTAACCACTACGCCACCGAACCAGCCCCTAGTTTTAATAGTTTTATAAATAATTGTTAATTTATATATAATGTTTTAACTTTTTAAATAATAGTTTATAAATAATTAAATAGTTTTAAAGCGTGTGTTTGTGGATTCCTGCAGATTTTCTACATACATTGAGTAGATGTGATGAGAATGGACATCTTTGCCTTACTCCTAATTTAGTCTTTCACCATCAAATATGATAGCTGTAGGTTTTTCGCGGGTGTACTTTTTCAGGTTGAAGATGTTCCCTCTCATTGCTAATTTTTTAAGAGAATTTTTATCGTGCATGGCTGTTAGATTTTGTCAAATGCTTTTCTGGGTATATGGAGATGATCATATTATTTTTGTCCCTTACTCTGTTAATATGGTATATTACATTAATTGATTTGAGGGTGTGACACCAAACTTGCATTCCTGGGGTAAATCTCACTTGGTCATGGTGTATAATACTTTTTGTATGTTGCTGAATTCAGTTTGTTAGTATTTCCTTGAAGATTTTTACATGTTATTCATAAGAGTCTGTAGTTTTTTCCTTTGTCTGATTTTAGTATCAGGGTTATATTGCCTCAGAGAATAAGTTGGGAAGCATTCCCTCCTCTATTTTCAGGAACAGTTTGTGAAGGATTGGTAATTTTTCTTCTTTAAATATACAGTAGAATTCTCAGGTGAAGCCATCTGGGCCTGAGCTTTTCCTCATGTAAAGGTTTTATTTACTAATTCAATTTACTTGTTGTAGGTCTATTCAGATTTTTTAGTTATTCTTGATCCAGTTTTGTAATTTGTGTCTTTCTAGAAATTTGTTCATTTCATCTAGGTTTTCTAATTTGTTAGCATAAAGTTGTTCATAGGATTTCTTGTTTATCCTTTAATTTCTATAAGATTAGTAGTGAGCCCCCTCTTTCATTCCTGATTTTGGTAATTTGAATTCTCTCTTTTTTTTCTTGGTCAATGTAGCTAAGGGTTTGTCGATTTTGTTGATCTTTTCAAAGAACCACCATTTGGCTTCATGATTTTCTCTATTGATTTCTGTTTTCTAGTTCATTGATTTCTGCTCCAGTATTTATCATTTCCTTCCTTCTGCCTGCTTTGGGTCTAGTTTGATTTCCTTTTTCTAGTTTCTTAAAGTAGGAGCACAGATTATTAATTTGAAATCTTCCTTCTTTTTTAATATAGTCATTTACAGCTATACATTTTCCTCTAACCACTACTTTAACTGCACCTCATAAAATTTGACATGTTATGTTTTCATTTTCATTCAACTCATAGTATCTTCTAATTTCTCCATTTCCTCTTTCACCCATGGGTTATTTAGAAGTATGCTGCTTAATTTCCAAATACTTGTAGATTACCCAAATTTCATTCTGTTATTAATTTCTAATTTAACTTCACGTGAACAAAGGAAATATTGTGTATGATTTCAATCCCTTTAAATTTGCTGACACTTGCTTTTTGGACTAAAATATGGTCTATCCTGGGGAATATTCATGTATGCTGAAGAAGAATAGGTATTCTGCTACTGTTGAGTGGAGTATTCTGCAAATGTCAGTTAGGTCAAGTTGGTTAATACGGTTGTTCAAATCTTCTATCTGTTCACCGATTTTCTGTCTAGTTGTTCTATCCAGTATTGAGAGGGGAGTATTTAACTCCCCAAACTATTATTTCTGAATTGCCTACTTCTCCCTTCAATTCTAACAGTTTTTGCTTCATGAATTGTGGGGTTGTGTTGTTAAGTTCATATATGTTTATAATTGTTATATCTTACTGATGAATTAACATTTTTATCATTATAAAATGTTTCTCTTTGTTTCTAAAAATATTTCTCTTCTTAAAGTCTATTCTGTGTGATATTAGTAC